CTTCATAATAAAGATTAGGTTGTTGAGGAGAATGATATATTTTTTCCTGTAGGTATATTCCTTATCAGCATTGTTTGAAATGTAATAAAATAAATTATACGAAATTAGAACTTATGACAAATGAAATGAAACGCTTAATTAATTAAAAGTAATAGTTCTCTTTTGTAAATTCACAACCACAGGTTATAAATGTTGGACATATTATACAATAAAACAATATCTTTACATAGTAACTTCTATTCTGAATTAAATTTAAATTCAATTAAAATATCACGCAACTTTGTTTTACAATATTGGCTGTTTGAAATATATGTTCATTTGAAAGCCTGAGTTCAATGTGGTCTTCTAAAATTTAAAGTTGCATAGGGTTGACAGGTTTTTTTCCAATTAGTATAGAACGGCCAAAAAACATAAAAAAACACCCAATTAATTAAAGATCGTATAAAAATTATGATTTCATCATGACCTTTGGCTCCTTTGTCATATATTGTAAAAAAATATTTTATGTAAGTTATGCTTAATCATAGAAGGAGAGAGCGTTTGAGAGATGAAAAATTACAATAAGATATTATCCCATAAATCGTTTTTGTAAAGCCACATTAACCCGTTAGTCAAGTAGTAGCAACCCTAGGACTACGAAAGCGAGTTTCCCCAAGGTGACCTAGTATAAATCGTCAGTGAGGGGTCATCGAGATCGCTAAATGTCATAACTGTGTCGAATCCGGGGTCAGTACAATAGACTGACCATCTCATAATTAATATGCATCGTATGAATCTATAACACCACTCAGAACCCTATAACCCAGAAATCAATATACATAATAATATGTTAATACAGTATATCGGAGTTGCTTTAACAATGTAGTTTCTGTATTTCTTGTACAGACGTTCAAAGGCGACGTATATAAGCCAAAAGTTAATTTATATAACAAATGGTTTAGAAATGAAAAGATCATGAATGTAGGTAGAAATTATAGAGGTTCACTTGCAAATACATACATACGTAATACATATGTAGTGTGAAATTTTCTTTATATTTGCAACTTGCTGCTACATCTAAAATATATTTTAAGATGAACATGTTCTTGATCTTTAAAAGAAACTCATAAAAATGAATTTAGTTAATAATCAAGTCAATGAATACCAAATATTATTATCTATTCAAATTAGTACGGCAATTTTGATAGCTTGTGTTGCATTCTCTTCATATTAACAGTAACGAAGTACTTGCTTATTATTGAATATAGAAACAATACGTTATAAAAAGAAAAGTGATTATTATAAAACTATTGGATTGTTATATGTTGAACTCTAAGACTTTCGCCAGTATTTATTTAAATGAAACTAATATTGTTCAGATTTTATTATTAAAAAAAACTACTTACTCCCGAAGTTTCGTTTACTTAGCAACAACCGTGATCACGGGCAGACGAGATGTTATATGTTTGATAAAATCACAAGTGCTATTTACAATCTACTAATTAATACTACTACTAATTAATATGGAATCATCAAATTAGTTTCGAAATTATTGAATTCAATACTAAAGATTGGTATTATATAGGTACTAGTAGTGATTATTAACACTTGCTTATTTTTATTTTCTATTTAAAAAATACTAAATTTATTTTACAGTTTTTCGAAATGCAGTTGGGATTATTATTTATGGAATGGTATAAAAAGTCAGTGGTCGCCTCGCGGTTAAAGGCCTATCTCTCATGCACGAGGGTGCGGGTTCAATCCTGGCTAGTACCAATGTGATTTTTCCTGATGAGTCATATGAACTTTCTAAGAGTATTTAGACACCACTGACAGACGATGAAGGAAAACGTCGTGAGGAAACCTGGACTTATAATTCCACAATTATAAGTTTGAAATATGGTGATTTAATCTTAAACAAACCAACCCATCTTAAACAAACGTGGTGATTAATGCTCAAACATTCTCCATATTGTGAGAAAGAGGTCTTTGCTTAGCAGTGGGCTCTGATAGGCTGATGACGACGATGACGGTCTAAAATATTATTCCATTAATTATTCTTACATAATTTATGATTTTTCTAGTATATAAAGCTACATGTTCCTATATTAACATATATATTGAAGACAATCTAATACTAGGAAGCCGTGCTTTAACGAGCGCTATATTTTAATTAATTTTGATATTTTATTACCAATATGCTATTAAATGCTCTGAATAGAAAAACATTTTTTAAATCATTTATGTTTTAAACATTAATATAAGAGCTCTTTCATACGATAGGCTTCATGCTACGTTTTTTTAAACGCTCGTTCTTTAATGTTTGATGAAAATTACTGTCATGTTTTTATATCATGTCAGTAGAAAACTATCAGACTTACGCAATGTAATTTACACATTTAGAGAAATAGGCCCTCGCAGAACACAGAACAGCTCATACTTACTAACAAGTTGCTTATTTGAGATAAGGAGTTTCAAAACCATAGGATGGTTGAAGTTGTGGTGGTACCGCTATCACCCAAGGTTCAGTTTGAGGCATAGAAAGCAGTCAGCAAATTTTTTACCAGATGTCCCTTTAACCTTATTTGTCATGTTATCATCGGTTTTTCACAGTGGTGGTAAAGACGACGGAATGAAATATTTCCTGGGTAGCTTTAGAAACCGACCAAAAAATTTGACTACATTAGGATTAGTTTGCCTAACACTAACCAATTCTTCTGACGAATAGTTTTTTTAAGGGGAGCTCGAGTCAGCTTTATGATTGGTTATCACATCAGAAATGTTGTAGTTATTTTCAATCTTCCGTCCAACTTATCTAACCCGATCCGTCCATCCGTCGAAACGATTGGATCAAGGCCGTTTCCGTTTCCTAAACACAGATTGTAGAGCGAGGTGTTCAAATAAACATAATAGTAATAAATATATTTGAAACTTATATGAAACTCTTTTATCGTTACTAAGCGAAGGTAGTATCAATGTAAACAAGTTTAAACTTTAAATGAATTTATATGGTGTCTATTTTTTGTTTATTTATAACATTACTTACTAGTATATGATTATTTGTTTTCATATATGTTAGACACCTATAAACTCACAGATTAAATAAATCTTAAAAGAATTTACCTTTTATGGTTTTTTTACAAAATTACCAACATTTTCTTTAATGAAGCGAACAATGATCAGTTTTTTTTTTTTAGGTTACTTGTAAAAAAAAAACTTCCAAACAATTCGTAATGCAAAATATAAAGCTCTTAATAATGTTATTTAATATAATGTCGAAAATTATTTAGTGTAATTATGATGCCTTTTTAGAAAATATTAAAATAACAGTAACAAAACTTAACGAAATTTGTTACGTAAACTTAATCTTTATTCAGTACTACTCATTGATTCGGACTGCTGTAAAATCTAGATTCATTATAAGATTTTTACACATGTTCATACAAACTATGAAATAAAAGCCTATTAAATCCATAAATTTAAAAATTTCAGCGACAAGAAGTATATTTTGGTATATTCTTGGTATGTATTATATTATGTAGATATTTATGTTAGGGTTTAGGGAACATATAAGAAAGTAAATCTAGTGACTTTATACACAAACCTTTGATTTCTTTGACATTGTAAGGACATATATACATATTAAGGTTTTTTCTCCTTGAGAATAAAGACCTTTGGACGATAATGGAAAACTTACTTCTGTTTTGAAAATAAGAAATTTGATAAAGGCTATTGATTCATCTACAATTTTACCCGTGACAGTTTTACAATCTGACATAATATTGTCACGTTTAAAAATTATATACATAATTACAAAGTTTATAACATAAAAACTTTAAATCGTCAAAAAGAAAATAATATTTTCGAATTACTATGCGTATTTTATTATTTTAAAAACTACATACTCCCGTCGTTTTGCAGCAGCCGTGATAACGGGCAGCCGAGATGTCAAGTCACAAGTTTATGAGTGCGAACTTTAAACAAAATAGCTCAGTTTGATTAAGAAAACAATAAAAGCAATATTTATTAGTCTGCCATAATATTTCCCGGTTTGGTTATTATGAATTTTATATCTAGGTTACTTACATTAAATTCTTTATCTACATATATATTAAAATACATTAAATGACATGACATTTGAAAATAAATTATAATTAGCAGATACCGGTATTACAATACTAAAACAGATTTTTGCAAACTTAATAACATTGATGGATGACATTTAGTATTAGCTGCATATATAAATTATGTTTATTAATATGTCGATTCTACGAAAACAATTGAAACTGAAAATAAAGTCGTAGTTTAATTTTAAAAATTATGATAGCTTTTTCATATTTGTACCTTACTTTCAGTATGTGTTTTATAGAATAAATGATGTATTTACTCAGACGTTTAGTATACACATACGATAAAATAGAAAAAAACTAGAAATTATAAATAAAAGTTAATTATGTCACAAAGGTACGAGATTATTACCTTGGAATATGAAAGAACAAAAAGTTTTGCACACATATTTGATAAGATAAATATTGAATTTCGGTAGTAAGACAAAGAATATGAGATCAGATGCACCCTTGATAATAAAAATATTGATACATAATATTTTCAACTGAATTTAGTACATAAATATAACATTCAAAAAGTTGTTAATATTTATGAAGTGAAAAAAGACATCATTATCCAATCATTATATGATGTTAAGATATAAAGTTTTTAAGTTAAATATGTTTAAAACAACCAATTAAAAATATTTGAAAAATATTGTAAAACGTAATTTGTCCATTTACAAAACAAAAGTTTTATGATTAATATGATATTTTATCAAATGTGTTTCGTAAAGAAATTCATGTGTAGCGAGGTGCGAATAATATAACACTTCTGCATTTTTATTCTTTGGTAGGAATCATATATTCAATCTAAACCAGATGATAATGAATTCGCATCAGGACGTATATAAAGACCTCTAGGCAATTTCTAAATCATACTGACACTAATCAGCTTCACAACCACTCACAAAAATGGTAAGAAACTTCATAGAGAAAACCTAATTTTTCTCTCTGATTACAACAATACTTCGCTTTGAATATAGGGATATATTTAAAACTCCTTAAATATTTCCAGAAATTCCTAGTCCTTCTCGCCGTTGTGGCTTACGCCGCCGCTGAGGGCGTCAAATATGACGAATCTGCTGCCAGCATCGTCAGATCCTCCTTCGACAGCAGCCCTGAAGGAAACTCTTTCAGCTACGGCTTCGAAAGCAACAACGGCATCAAAGCTCAAGCTGATGGTGTTGTAAAGAACCCCAACGGTGTAAGTTGACTTTTTTATTATTATAATCATTACATACTTTGTCGATCGTCAATTGTTCAAATTGACAGCAGCTTTTCTCGTTATCAACACATGGAATCGCCTTAAAACAAAATCTAAAGTACTATTATAAGAATATTTTTTTAATTTTTTCCAATCTGCTTTGGTATCGACAAATATAATTTTCACATTGAGAATTAAAAACATCCATAATATTCATAAAAATGTAAATTCCAATTAATTAGTCAAAATTATTTATTGGATGGTATTTATAAATACAATTATATTATATGTTAATCAAGTTTAAATAGTAGCTCTCATAACAATACCTTAATTTTAATTATTATATTTCTGTATATCAATATACTAGTGTACCGAGTTGGAGGGTCGTTGAAAATTAACAATTGATTTAATTAGTTCAAGGCTCAGACAGTATTTAAATTTATATACCTATAATAAATAATAAGGTTTCTAGAAATACGATATTACGAGCTTAAATCTAAATATACTATGATATTGGTGTTTATGTAATATATATTTACCTGCAGGAGAACCCCGCTCTTGAAGTTAAGGGATCAGTCAACTACAACTCTCCCGATGGAACTCCCGTTGAATTGGTTTACGTAGCAAACGAAAACGGATACCAGGCCTCTGTAAGTATAATTTAAACACTGATATATTAACTAAAATATGATCAAAAATTCATATAAACCAAAATTATACATCAACTCCACCAATAATATAAAAGTTTCCTGTTAATGTTGAGACGAACCTTGATATTTAAGAATTACAAAAGTCACAATATCATTAGGGCAGGTACATATATTTGGCTGACAAAGGTCACAATGGTCTGTTTAGATTTAACCTTACACACTTAAAAATACAGGGTTACGTCAAAGATCAACGATGAATATATTCTAACTGTTACTCTGACCTCGCAATTAAAATCTACTTGTATCTTAGTTGGTCATAATTTATATTGTTATTTGTTATAATTACTTATGACTTTTTAATCCCCAGGGTTCTCACGTACCCGTGCCACCTCCAATCCCAGAGCTGATCCTCCGTAGTCTCCAATACATCGCCGAACACCCCGCCCCCGTTGAGCGTGTAGTCAAGAAGAACTAAGAATTCGACCCCTGATTTTTCCGATTTTTTCTGTTGTTTTTTGTTTTTTTAGCATCGTACAATGTAAGAAGTTGATTAAAGTGTGACATCAAGTATATTGTTTTAATATCATCCCCTTTAAATATTTATTGAGCTATAATCTATGTTACAAAGAAGTCTGTAATCTCATACATAATCTTGTTACTAAAAGAAAATCAAAGCTACTTTCCGCAAATACAATTATTACAATTATAATACATATGATATTCTTATTCTGTATGCACACAAAGGAAAAGAATAAGTAGGAAAAAGAAAGTTGATATTTGAACTGATAATAAAAACATGCATTTTTAATATGAAACTCAATTCAATAAAGCTAGGCATGATATTAATAGATTGCTTTGTTTGTAGATAAATAGAATTGATAATCACCATTTCGATATATTAATAATTCAGAGAATACATAAGCTAAGCAAATATAGCTCAGTCTGACCGAGTAAGATTTGACCCTAGACATTGCAGTTCCGTCTTATGAATGTAAATAACAATATAAACCAAACAACAAAATATAAAAACTGCTAACAACATGTGATAGAATTTTATGAGAATTCAAGTAATAAACCATTAAGATGCAGAAGATGTCCATAAAGTTATTTCAATGACGTTCTCGTGATTATTTTATCAAATATTTTTCATATATTACACAAATATAATTTGTTCCCAAGCCGTATGTAGTAACGCGAGTGATTTTTTTTTATTTTTATATATTTGTACTCTTAATTAATGATTCTTGAATACATTAAAAACAAATATACAAATGGAATCTCGACCACGGTTTCAAGGACATACATAAATTTGATAACGACACCTTCCATGTAGTTTCAATATATTTTTTAAGACTATTATAATTTTGTTTTCGTCAAATTAATTACAAATCACAACACGTATACGGATTTTAATCTAGCTTTAATTATATTCAACTTACATTGATCTCAATTATATCCTAACGCTCATAAATTTAATTTAATGTAATGTGTATGTACATATGTTAATTTTAGAATTATTACCCATGTGGCATACACTTAGCATGTATGGACACATAAACAAAAATTGTAATGAACAATATGAAATATTATGATGAAAGTAACAATATTTTATATGAGTGTTTCGTTACACATAAATATGTATATAGGAATTCCTTTATACTCGAGGCATTTTTTTAAGAACGGATAAAATGAACCTTGATATTTGTTGAATTGAAATATATTATGTCACCTCAATTAAGGAAAACAACACACAAAAGCATTTTTAAATTAATGATATCTAATATTTTAAAACTTATAATTTGATGCTTATGATTTTTAAATTATCCTAAAGACTTTACTCAGTTTTTTTTTCATTAAAACTATAATTTATAGATAGACTATTATAGACTAGTAATCAACATATTTTTTTTACTTTACGTAAATCATTACTATAATTCAAAGAACCTTTTTTTTTGTATTAAAACAGTATAAAAAAATTAACAAATATAATCAAGAGATTCCTTTTTAATGTATTACATAGAATGAATGAATTATTATGTGTCTCAATTACATACTCACTCATATAATTAATGAATATTCATATAAAAACATCTACATATATATAATTATCTCATGTAGATTAGTAATAAAATGACACTTTGGTAAGGACGTCTTTGTATTATACATACAACGTTTATAAGACTTAAGTGCATATTGAAAATATTAAATCAAATATTTCAGTAATTCGAATAACTTTATAGATTGTTTTATGAATATAGGACCTTCTACCCTACATCTTATAAGTCTAAATGATAATATTTTTGTGTCACGCGCAAGAGACATGATAATATTTAAATTTGTACCCGAATCCATATTATGTAAATTTATTACTTTATAGGCTATAAATATAGTGGTGTAATTATTTAAATTTTTTGATTCTTAATTAAATATAGTGTTTTAGCAAAAAAAAATTTGTACATGATCGAGAAGCTTCATTAGTTTATTTTTCCAATTACGATTCCGAGCCTTCTCCTTAATATTTGCGAAATTTTTTAAGTTAAAAAAGTTTATAACTTTCCAGTGAATTTCGTATCGACCTATTTAATGTAAAAAATAAAGAAATCATAACATTTTATTTTCGGATTACCCACAAGTTTTTTCAGAATTCTTTTAAAAATGTTGATGAAGTGTAATATATAAAACAAAATCAAAATATCAAGGAGATTATGTAAACTTTAGCCTTTTTTGTTACGTTTATGGTAAATTTATTACAACTAAAAAAGGATATCTCAAAACAGAATTAAATAATTGTGGGTATATTGGGACTAGGCCTTGCTATATGTTTATTACTGGTTGTTATATGTAGTTACACTACTATTTATTATAAAAGACGCCGACACTTTTTAATAAATTTGTAGTCACTTTTTTGTGTTAATGTAATTACATTTCAATTGTTTAAAAAAAACACTACAAATCAACGAAAAAACTACATATTCAGTGGTTTTTTTTTCAAGTAAAAAAATATTTTTATTAATGTTATACATACATATATGTATTTTTTTTAATAAAATCAAATTTATTATATCAATGTGTGTTATCGAAAACTATTATACAACAAAATGTAAAATAATATCATGATCAGCTTCTCAAACAACAACAAGGAAAGTTTGAATAATATGTTTTATTTGTCTTTTTTAAAATACATCTTTTTGGTTTCAACAAATGATGGAAAAAAAAATTACATATCTCGACTTTTTAACATTTGGTCATTTAAAGTTATTTTGTATAAAGACTTTTTAAATGTCATATTTTATTTAAAAAGTTTATGTAAATTTGTAACGTATTTTATAATATTTTTGTCTTAAATGATAAGGCTGAGATATAACAGCATACCCGCCTTTCTACTGTCAACATGAGTTACATCATCTAGGTCTTTTAGAACGAAACGATTTTAGCTCCATAACTAATGTTATATATATATATATATATATATTTATTTATTTATTTAAAAAAAATTTAAACTTGCCAGAAACATTTAGGACAAAAATATGATACAGTAAAAATAAGTTAAGTTGTGCAAGCATATATAGTATATGCTTGCACAAAATAAATATTTTAATAATTTTTTATCGTGTTAATTCATGCTATTACTTAAATAAATACAACCTTAGAGATAATAATATCTAGACATAAGTCATGAATTGAATGGATGGTCAAACTGGATGAATTACTATTATAACGTCTATTTTTTTTGGATTGGACCTCTGTTAAGAATAGTAGACATGCTCAGTGATGTGTTTTATTTCTAGCAAATAAAAAATAATAATTATGAATTTAAAATAATTTGGTTGGCCTGGTCTAGTACTATTAATGTTATGTTAATTTTTATAGGCTCGATTTACATGACATAAAAAAATGTGTGTCTACCCCCGATAAAATAAAAGTTTGTATGAAGAGTAGATTACTAATTATATATGTATGTAGAAAAAATAATAGTTATATGGTCAGAAATTTTAACTGTATATTTCATTTTATTTTACATTATATGTGGTTAAAATTTTTCATGAGATAATCTAAGATTTAAAAGTTTTATATTTTCAAATGTAGCTATAAAATTTAAAAAAACACCATACCCCTTATTAGTGTAGTATGTAAATTATTTGTCTTCTTTAGCTATTTTTTTAGGTGTGTAAATAATTTTTTAGCGTGCTTCATTATAATCTAAAACCTGCCTCACGTGTTTGACGATAGAACAAGTTTGACACAAAAAAATAATTGACCTATTGACATACAGATTTGTATGAAATAGCCTTTGATTTTATTCTGATGACAATTACATATATGTGATCTTTTCATTATAATTAATATACTAAACCAATGTGGATTATGAATGATTATAAAAGTACATATTGAGAGAGATATCTCCTTTTGGTTTTTCAGTAGTTTGTATTATAAATTGTTTATAATTTTTGTCATTTTCATTTACGGAATTTCTGCTTGTTTTTCGATAAAGCTTTTGTTTTTTATATATAGTATTATGTTCCCTGTTTTTTTAGGTTTTAAATTATATTCTTACAGAAGGAAACATATTTCCAATTAGAATCAGATTTGGCAATGGTTATCGCTTTTATTTGTACATTATTCTGCTAAAGCTTTAGGGAAAAATTAAAATGAAATTTATTATCTGGCTGAAAATTGAAAATGAGGATGAAAATGAGGAATAACCTTGAACGTACCATCATATTATATAGGTTGCGTTTCAAAGCCAGCAGGAGGTTCTAGAAACTCTAGTAAACTTATTTAGAGGTATGTATATTATAATAAATCTTCTGAACTATACCATAGGCTTTACTGATTGTACTGATGTGGGGAAAGCGTTGTCATTCCCTTTCTTGTGTGGTATCAGGGTTCATATGGCCAAGTGTTTGTTCCGACTTTCCAAGGAATCACCAACGTTACCTACTATATGATATTTTTACCAAACAACGGTGTTACTTCGGCGATGCTTACTTAATTTTCAATACGTTATTTATTCGGGTCAGCTTAAAATGAGATCTGAAACAAATAATCTTTAAAATGCTTATGAATAACTTATTAAGGCTAGGTACTTTACTTAGTGAAATATAAAATAATAGTCAAAGAATTACACGTGTTGTTTTAATAATATATTAAAGACCCACTATTACAGTATTAAATATCTTTAAAATATTATATACGCTTTATCAATAGGTCAGCTCCTTTCCAAAGGAAGTATTAATGACATCTTTATGAGATCCAAAAACAGATTCACCTTGTATAAAAAAAAAATCAAATCACATCGAAGATTCTTAGTTGCAAAATAATGCAAATGTAATACTTAGAACCATAATCGAATGATTCCCCGGAGTATAAAACGCGAGACGATTATATTATAATCACAGTTACACATCGCCTGTTAACTTGATACATCATGGTGAGTCAAGATTACAATATAATAAAATATATATAAATATATTTTTTTTATAAATCGTATAAAGTACTTTTAAAATAAAAGCATATCTTCCAAATTTAAAATCTTTTTAGAATATCATTTTTTGTGTATTTAGACAAATTTGTCCCTTATCAATACTGATTATATTTTTCTTTGGATAGAAATCCTTCGTAGCACTCCTCACCCTTGTGGCCGTCGCTGCCGCTGATGTTTCCCACCTGGACGCGGCTGCCCAGATTGTCAGCCAGGACGCTGATGTCTTCCCCGACCAATACCAATACAGTTACCAGACCTCCAACGGTATCCAGGGCCAAGAACGCGGAGCATTGAAGAACGTCGGCCGTGTAAGTAATCTAACAACGTACTCGTTAAACGATTACATGTGATGGAATAAACAAGTTTTATAAATATTTAAAAAAAATACATGGATAAATTTAGATTGGAAAAATATGTTATTTGTAATATCTTAAAGGAAGGCTAGTAAATTACTAATAATAACAGATAGAGGTCAATCCGAATGACATTTAGAAGATGAGCTTGTTGCCGAAACATGTTATAAATTAATGTACAGCCTTGATATTTACTATAAGGTCATCTTAGTATTACCTTATTACCGCAGCATACCAAATATATTAAATTATAATATTACATAATAAAACTATATCATCATGTAGTTTAATAAATGGAATAATAAATATTATAATATATAATTTTCTTATATCAGGAGGACGAAGCTATTGAGGTCCAAGGATCAAACTCCTACGTCGGTCAAGACGGTCAGACTTACTCTGTACAATACGTCGCCAACGAAAACGGATACCAACCCCAGGTAACACACAAATTATATTAAGAACTATAAAATCATTTGAGATGGGAAACAGAGTCATACACGTCGTATTTAACGACGAGGTTATCTTCCCACAACACTTCGTATATGAACCTACGGCATTCCGACCGAGTCAAAGGCTCTATGCTATCTAATTAACTGACGTAGGTTGCAAAGGTGACATTCTTTATGCAACGATGAGTAATTTATTTCGTATTCTTGAATTACGTACTACACTACCGATATAAAATAATATCAGTTGATGATAAAAATACTTATTTTATCTAAAACTTCTTTGCATTGAATATTGTCCACATGAGAAATTTAATACTGAAGCATTATCTAGCAGTCATATGAAATATAAGGTGATTTGTCAGGTGGTTAGGGTACCGTCAGTGAAAGCAATTAAAAACAAGGTGATTATTATCGCCAAATAAAGTTGAAATATTGTAATAGCAATGTTAATGATACATTTGTTTATTTACAGGGTGCTCACCTCCCCACTCCTCAGCCAATCCCCGAATACATCTTGAGAGCTCTTGAATACATCGCATCTCGCCCACCAGTTGATGCCAAGAGGGCTTAAATTTAGTACTTAAGATAATCGCTAACACTGCCATATTATTGTTACCTCTAGTCGCTTCATGTGATGGAGAAATAAAAACATACTATCCATACCTCATTGATTTTATTTTTATATATAGAAATCTACTATCCCACTTTCTATAACAAAGATTACTCGGCACTTTAATATTTTTAATAAATATGATCTTCCATAAATGATAATAACTTGAGCAATAAAACATATTTAATAATGACATCGATACACATTTAACTAGCCCATTAAAATGAATTTGTTTGAAAACTTTTGTCTCCAAAATGTGTCTAACTTTAACGGTTTTCGTAAGTAGTTTTCGTGACATATGAATGCAACATATGGTCCATAGTAATGCCTGAATAACGAATTTGGCGGAGGTTTTGATAAAAATTATTGTTGAAAATATGCAATTTAGTTTCCAAAAAAATAATAATTTCAGAAACATTTATTAGAATATTTAGCAATTCTGTTATTGTGACGATTTTTATGATATAATTATTAAATAAGAACTATTTTTTAAAGCTATGTACGTGTAAATACATATTTATTAAACTGGCACTGCCATTGCTGTTATTTGTATACTATTATAAGAAGATATATACCTATACATAGAGGTTGGTATGTTTTCTACAAAATCTATTATGCTAAACTATAAAGAAAAAAGATTTTTTAAATCCATAAATCATTGTATGTACTAAATTATTTATTTCTTGTTTACTCTCCTTCGTTTGTTATACAAAAGTTTTAAGATACTTTTAACTAAAAAGGATGAATGCTAACTAAGTAAAATGTTTCGAGTACATTTAAATAAATAAATAAATAAAAAAAATTTCATTGAATGATTTGGAAGTGTTAAATTATAAAGTGCATAAAGTTCAAGTAAATTTCATTATAATACGATTCTTTACAATAACTTTCAAATATTCATTACAAAGAATTTAGTAAGAGTTCTTTCATCCTAAAACCGACAGCTTAAATGTATTTTTTCAAAATTATTTCCATAAAACGTTACGTACTTCGTAAACAGTACTTCCGTTAGGGACAATTTCTTATAATATGTAGTTTAAATGGAATCTACGGTCTTACGAAAGTGTTGAGGTCACGCAATCGCGACATCAGCTTAAATTGACGACAAAGTACCTATAAACAAGCCGGAGAGCCTTGTAATTATTTCAGCTATCTACAAGTTAAGAATTATAAGAATTATATATAGTATAATTTTCCAATGAACTGGAAAAAAGATCCGTAGTAATGTTTTACGAACATTTTGAGCGTAATAATGGGTTGCTGGTTGCTGGTGGGATGTAAGGTACTCCTGGACAGCGGTCAATACTCGCGTAATCACGATAGGGTTCTAGAAGTCATACGTGAAGCGGTTAGTCTTTCGGTAGCCAGAGCGCAAAAGGAAATAACCACAAACGAACGATCAGTAGGTTTTGTGAGAGAAGGCACTAGGGCTACAAAATCAAACGTCAAGCCTTACTTCATCCTTAAAGCGGCGTCGGATTGGACTATAATGATGGACACGTATGAAAAACAATATAAAATCCCCGAGGATATTTGTGCGTCGGCCTCCAGACCGGATATATTTTTGTTTTCGCGAATTTTAAAGCGCGTAGTGATGATAGAGCTTACGGTCCCTTGGGAAACCAACATCCCCAAAGACCATACCATCAAGGTCAACAAATATTACGAGCTCACAAACGAACTCACTCGAAATAGGTTCGTAGTAGATTTGTACGCGGTAGAGGTGGGAGCGAGAGGTATAACAGCGAAATCTCTCTACAACCTACTAAAGGACTTGGGCTTGTCCAGAACTCACATTAATGCATTCTTGGAACGTATATCGAAGGCAGCCCTAGTAGGTTCTTTTCAAATTTGGTTAGGTAGGGAGAGGAGCTTGGCCAGTGGAGGTGAGCGTATAGCGCGCGTTAGTTAAGGGGCCCCTTAAACCTACACTTGGGTCGCAAGTCCCAGGCACTGTTGAAGCTCCTCTCCCTGCAACGCGATGGACCCGGCACCAGCACGGTGAATCCATGGAATGCTGAGTGGTTTCGTCTCTCTTAATAATAAATATTTCTTCATCTAGTTTATAGAATACTTATTAGAGTAAATACACATAGCATCAATTCAATTCAAGACAACCCAAAAAACTCGATTTAAAAGGTAAGAAAACAAAAGGAAATCAAAAACCTAATTAACGAACTCAAATTAGAGAAGAATCCGAGCAAAGACGAAGAACATATCCTCTAAATTAAGACTAATAGTATTCAACTTTTAAATTATTAACAAATATAGACATAAAACAAAAAAATACGATTAAGAAAAAGGAAATCCTAAAGATATTGTGAAGAACCAAATTGGTTATCTAAAAGATACATTTTACATTTTAAATTACTTACATTTTAAATGTTTCCATTTCTTCTATCAAATAATTAAAAAAAACAAGCTACATTTTAAAGTCAAAAACCACCTGTATCATCAACTATAATCTATAATATCAATCAAGAATTCAAAGTTTGCACATAAATGTGACAGGACCAGTTTATTAAAAAAATATGAAATGAAATTAGAAACAATAATTTTCAGTCGTAAGAGAAAATGATAAACAAAAGATTCATTCAACTTAGCAAAATATTTGATTAAAAAATCCTAACATGGGACTGTCTTTAAGATTTACAAACCATTTGTTTTGACTGAACTTAAAATAGTTGCGCTTAGACATAACAACTGTATAACAAAACTAAAGTAAACAATAAGTTGAACTAAAGAAAAGGTCTGAATTGTCAAATTTGAAAAAAATAAAGTAGCTGAGTAGATTCATACAATATTAGGACATTTGAAATAAGGAATCACGTAGAATGTTTAATTAATTATTATTGATTAGTAGTAATCAGACACATGTAAACTACTGATACAATTAAGATCAATATTCTTCATATAAGTTTTGCTCAAATAAGTATATTTGTACTAAAAAACGAATATGTAAAATACCAAAAAACTAGTATGTAATACATTTTCATCAATAAAATTTGACACACACATAGATAATAACGACACCAAGCGAACTTTCCGAGTTCCTATCGACATTAAGATTCTGTTGTTTTTAAAGTATAGACTTTTGACAGCAATTTATTTATTTGTAAAAAATAAAACGATTCTTCGATGCTCAGGATTCTTAGATTTCGTCAAAGAGCATGACCTATGCAAATTTGCAGCGGTTCAGTGATTGCCATCCTTTCTCTACTTTGTTGATGTAATAACTGAAGCTGCTTAAACTCCTTCCGTATTGACAAAGCATTATATAAACGAATTAAATCAAAGGATTGTGATAATTATTGGCTATAAATAACTGTTACATACCTTTATTGGTAAGCTTTCATGTAAATTTAAAAAGTCCGTTTGCACATTGATTCATATTAATAATAAGCTATTGCGATCATTGGACACTTTCAAAAATTACTACCTAATGATTTATCATAATTTGTTGTTGTAAACTAGTAAATACTAAGTATGCTTCTATGTATAGTTTCACAAATGTTTCATTATTTTGCTGGCTCGTTATATACACATCGAAAGCCTTCATATATTTTGTTAAGAAAATCGTTCTTCAAAAAAAAGTTCCTTCCCCAATTTCAATTCCATAACTTTTAAATGTTAATCCATATAAATATGTATAAATATAAATCAATATACTAACACATCAGAATAGTGATATTTAAAAAAATGAATCTATAAAAATTTATATTTTAATTCACTTGTTTTTATTCATAGCCATCACACAATATTGTTACAACACCTGAATGAAAGCATTATATTATCAGTTACTCATATAGGTAATTCATCTCTATTATAAAGGCAAAGAATAAAAGACTTGACTTATTGACATATCTGTTCATTTTGTTAGATTTCACGATAGTATGAAATTTGGATACTGTGATTGTCTTTAGTAATTTATTTATTATTATTTTAAAAGTTATGTACATTTTTAGAATATTTTTTCTGTACGTATTGAACTGATTCCCAAATGCTTATCCACCGACTTGAGTTTGACCACAACAGTAAAATAATCCGTAAATCAACTTGAACAAGATATTTCGGGGGATAAAGTTCGCCTTCAAGCCCGTGTCGATGAACTTTTAATTGTATATTTCTTATATCAATTTGAATCGGACCCCACGATACAGGTCTCCTAGTGTGGGGTCCAAAGACAATGGAAATTTTAAAATTTGTTGAAACATAATGCACCTCAACCTAATATTATATATTACTGTGTAAGCATTGTGTTTTTCTCAATAAAGTTATTATTATTATTATTATTATTATTAATGCAAACATTAGCTCAACATCATTTTAATATTAAGTATAAATGTAATATGAGAATGAGTTTTAGTTCTGTTGAATAAAACTGAATGTGATTTATTCGGTAGTAGATTTACTGTTTTCATTTCTCCATTTTTGTTTCATAATACATAATTTTCATAATGAACATTCATAATCTGAACAACGAATTGATCACAAATAATGGTAATAACTGTTTTATTGACGTTTTAATGGATTAAATTCAGTGCTTAATTAATTAAATAACCAATAAATTTTCACCTAAGCATCGTTGTAGTTGACGTTCCGTAAATGGTAATGAGCAAACATTAGCAATTCATAATGGCTTCATTGCAACGTACAAAGCCTGTTTGCTGTAGACGAGTACAAATATTGACCAGCCTCTGTACCATTTATCCTACTTGCTGATATATATTTTTGTCATTTCCATTTCATTCTCCAATTTTAGCTGTTATTATAACGTATACATGGGAACAAAGTCGAAGATTTTGCCATTCTTATTCTTTTTTTGTCGTTTATCATTTAAAGGTGGGATTATTATTTGAGAATTAACGTTATTTTTTTATAAATATTTACAAAATAAACCTTAATTAGTTACAATGAAAATGTTTTAGATTTCATTATATCTCTTTTGATATGGCTACCTGAAAAGCTTTTAATTAGGTACTAATTCATCGCCTTCAGATGATATAAAAATAATTTAGTATTTTAACTACAAATTAGGTTAACAAGCCCAAAAGTAAATAAATTAAATTATTGAAAATTGTGTTCTTTTACTTTTAAATTGATAGTTTTTCATTCCATATATCATACCCAATCGTTAGTATGCACTAGAACCACGGATGGTATTTGATATTGAAAACAAAAAAATATTTCATTCAGTATGCAAACTTATTCCCTGCGACCGCAGAGCGGGCTGCGTAATTCCATTAACTGCATTTTGAGTTTCACTCAAAGCCCTCGACTTATCGAATTCAGTGTTTGTGCCAAATTCGTTGAATCGCTGGGTGCAACGAAATTCCCAAATGAAATATGGCCATAGAGTATTGTTTGGGGTTATTGCTTTAAATAGAATTTATTGCCTAAATTACATTAATAAAATTTAAGTGTTACTTTTAATTCTTACCTGAAACTTGAGTATTGATCGTAACTTTAACGGTTTGAATTACTGCTTATCAAATACAGATCTGTTATACATTAGAAAAGGAGTATACAGCAGATAGCTGGCGGAAATGTATGTAGATGACAATATTCAAGCTGCCGTTCGATCTTCGATCCATTTCCTCCTCTTCCAAACGGGAACACATCAAGAAATGACATTTAGCCAGTGTACACAACAGGCGGTTAATTTAATAATATATTAAGATTAAGAGATATTAATGTCTACTGTTCATACTTAGACTCTGTTGTAACGTTTATTGAATGAAAATTAGGGGAATATTGCATCTAATACAAAATTCGATGTATTTAATACATAGGTAGTGTAGAAGTTAAAAAACTCAGTTTTTAAAGAGAGCAATTACACTGCAAGATAGATTTTTCTTTTTATTAGAATCGTCTTCAAAGTCGCAAGTCTGCTGGTAACGCCTACGTATTTTATTTTTATTATTCGAAGTTCTGATTGGTTTTGGTTTTAGATTTTTTCAATTTCCGTGTTTTCCAATAATAGGCGTATAGAACATTTACAGATAGCGACAATTTCGTTAATTTTTTTTCGTCATTCATTTGCCTCAAGGTATTCTTATATAGAGAGTTTATATTAATTATTACTTATTAATTAGTTATAAAATAATAAGCATTTTGTTTATAAACATTTCGACACGATTATGTTTATGTATTTTAAATCATATATAGTGTACTTATCAGAACAGCAATAACATACTTATTTTAGATTTTTATCTAAGCCGTTTCATGTTTCATGTTATTCAATACTTGCCATCGTACCTTAGACGATACCCCTACCATGGTTTTGGCATCATTTATATCATACGATATAAAAAAATGCATAAATATTACTTGAATATTGAAAAATTCGACTAAAATTTACTTTAAATAATATAGCTGTAAATAATCTTACGAATGTGGAAATTTTAACAGAAAAAGGCTGCGTAAAGTCTAGTTACTAAGTTAGTACCTACTACTATAAAACACTAAATATATTAGTTTTTACTAAAAAGAAGAATCGGCTTCTGTGTCCAATGGTTGTAGCTAGTTTAAGTTGCAACGTGCATTATACGAAGCAATATAACACGTGAGTGATACTCGAAAGCGATGTAATCTACGCGTTTCGTTGGCAAATCGAAAATCGTATTTGCGATCTACTCACCGCCTACTCAATATAAGTATGAGCTTTCTTAGGTGTGGCGGAAGGTAAATCCAGATAACATGTTTACGATATTATGAATCCAAAATTCATGGCCACGGGATTGGAAGAAAAAAAAATGTTGGACAATTTTTACTTTATAAGCATTCAATTCCATTACAGTCTCTTTAAATACTTTTTTAAGGATTTCCATATTCTTTTAGGTTTTATGAAATAGTGGGTATAGAATTTCCAAAGCCTTTTCCTATCGTTGAGATAGAACTTTTATTTAACTC